AGCCCGGAAGAGGAAGGACGCTCTGACACCTACTCCAGTGTGGATGGAACCTGGAGGACGCGATGCTGAGTGGAATGAGCCACACACACAGGACACACTGTAGGGTTCCCGTTCTGGGAGGTGCTGAGAGGCGTCCAATCCACAGGGACCGAGAGGAGAGGTGGGCACCCCACAGGGTGGGGGTGGGGGATGGGGGCTAGTGTCTCACGGGGACAGAGCTTCAGTGCAGGGGAGAAAGTGCTAGGGACGGCCTGTGGCGGTGCCCGCCCCCAAAGTGGATGCGCTCAATGCCACTGAGGTGTGCACTTCACTTCACGAGGACGGGGGTGCTATGCCGTGTGCACTTTGTAACAGTAACAATAATGATAATAATAACGATAAGACATGGAGAGTTGAGTCCGGGGTCCTGGGGCAGCCGGGAAGTGGCTGCGGGTCCCCTTCTCCAACCCCCAGCCTGGGGGACCTCCCCCTAGCCCCCTTGCATCGGCCCACTTGGCACTGAGGATGAAGATGCAGTGGCTCAGGGTCTGTCGGCAGGGGGAGCCAAGTGTCCATGCACCTGCCTGCTGCGGTGGCCTCTCAGGTCACAGCTTTGCGGGGAACCTCCCAGAACTAGCAGGCCTGCCCGACCTCAGACCCTCCCATGCTGAGGCACACACAGTGGGACGGTGCTCTGATTGGGCTGCCAGTCTACTCACAGGGGAGCAAGACCACTCGGGGTTACCCTTGAAGGCCTGGCTGACTCCGCAGGGCCTGTGCCCACCGGGAGACTTGGGGGAGGCGCCTGTCTTACCCAGGGGACTCATACTCACCTGTGCCTGTCCCCTTCCCCAGAGGACCTGCCACGGGGTCCAGGAGCCTGGAGAGACCCCTCCTCAATGAGAACACATGCTCAGTCTTCCATCTGGGAAGAGTAAGTGCATGGGGACGGGACTCTCAGGGACCTGTGTGCAGGCCTGCTGGAGAAGGTGGGACCTGATGGCCTCTCTTTCCTGATGTAGAGGTCACCAGCTTAGGGCCACAGGGCTGCAGGGCGAGACACACGGGGGGCTGCCGGGAACGACAACTTCTCTTGGCCCCAGCTGTCCTGGTCCCCCCCCCAATTCCCTCTCCTGTGCCCGTGTATCTCAGCATGGAGTGGCCCCCTTGGCCTTGGTGCTCACGCCTAATCTGGGAATGAGGCAGGGCAGTGACTTTCTCCAGCTTCAAGATTTTATGTATTTATTTGTCAGAGAGAGAGTGAGAGCAAGTGAGCACGAGCAGGGGGAGGAACAGAGGCAGAGGGAGAAGCAGACTCCCCACTGAGCAGGGAGCCCGACTTGGGGCTCGAGCCCAGCACCCTGAGATCATGACCTGAGCCATGCCACGTGGGGAGGTGGCCAGGCCTGGGAGAGTCTAATGGAGAAGCAGACACCAGGACATGGGTGAGATTTGCTTGAGCCTCTTGAAGGAGGGGTGAGCATGTCATTTCCAGAGGAAGTTTTGGAAGCTTGGGGTAGATTCCTATAAAAGCTGATTGGACCTGTTCTCAAGGGTGTCTGGGTTGGGCTGAGGGCAGTTGGGGAGGTGAGAAACTCAACTGACCATGACATTCTCCTCCTTGGGGGCTGGGCTGCATGCCAGGGTTGGACTCCTGGGCGGGGCAGCAGTACTAGGGGACCGGGGAGGGCTGACTGGGTGCAGGGACACCATGTTCTGGAGCCAAGACAGCCAAGAGCTAGAGCAAAGCCCCCCCTCAAATGCCCCCTGACTGCCTGGGCTGAGCCCTGTACTGGATGGGGCCAGGGTGCCGGCTCGAGGTACAGGAGGGGAGGGCTACGGGATGATCCACGGGGGCAAGTGGGCCGGAGGGGACGCAAAAGTATCTGGCAGCTCAGCAGAAGCAACCCTGTGTGCCTCTGTGAAGGGGCAGGAGGAGAGAAGCGGAGAGCCAGGCGGCGGAGGAGGCCTGGGGCACTAGCTGGCCCACAGGCAGGTGTGGGTCCTCTCCAAGGGGAGCAGACAGCCCTGGGGAAGAGTGGTCGGCTCTTCTGGGGTGGCAGCTTGTGAGCTCAGGGAAGGAACCAGACATCAGGGCAGCCCCTGCCTTGGACCTGATCTGTCCTCTGCGCGCTGAGGCCTGAGGGCTGCAGCTGGCCTCTGAGGCCTCCCTGGGATCCCATATCAGCTGGGCTTGAGGAGTTGGGGGTTTCTGCCGCTGGAGGGAAGGATCCAGGCTACGGTCTCTGATCGCCTGTGGATTCACCATGCGTCATCCTCAGGCAGCCCCCGAGTCAGCCAGCAGCCATGTCACTGACTCTAACCCTAACCCTGTCCAGGGTGTCCCCTCCCTTCCCCTTCCCCTCTCGAGCTCATCCCTCCACCAGGACAGCCCCTTCTGTCTGCCCCGGGCACGCCACACCTGTGCACCCACACCTAACTCAGCAAACATGCATCAGTTCTCACTAGCCTGGGTGACTGGCTCCACCTGGAGGCTGTCCTGCTCAGGGCGGGTTGAGATTGCCCAGGTACCGACCCAGCCCGGATGTTCGAGTGGCTGGAATGTGGTGGGTGCTCATCCCAGGGCTGCCCACAGGGCTGCTCTTGTCTAGGATGAAGCCACTCTGCACAGCGTGGAGCGAGAGGGGCCGATCTCTTCTGTCCCAGGCTTGGAGTTCCCCGAACGTCCCTTCTGCCATGACCCAGGGGTCACCGCAAATGCTAATGCCAGCCTGGGTCTGGGCAGGGTGGTGGCCATCTCTGAAGACTGTCGCCCTGCCCCTCTGGAGAGGAGAGGAGCAGCGAGCTTGAGGCCGGGGAGGTGCACGGGGCGGGGTGTATGTGTGTGTGTGTGTGTGTGTGTGTGTGTCCATGTGCCCAGCGGTGCCAGGACAGGAAGGAGTCAGGATGAGGGGGAAGGGCAGGAGCCTCTCCTAACCTCACTAGCCGTGTGAATCCCCTGCACCGGCAAACTCTTGCTCAGAAGCAGCACCCCCCCCCCCCCCCCAGTAGGGAGCCCAATATGGAGCAGGACCCTGGGATCATGACCTAAGCTGAAGGCAGTCGCTTAACCGACTGAGCCCCCCGCCTCTGCCAGCACAGAGCACAGGAGGCGTGCACAGGGATGCCCTCTAGCGGGGACAAAGCGCGGTCTGCGAAGCACCGAGAAACTCCTGAGCCGGCGGGGTGGAGGGGATCTCAGAAGCGGGGAGGGGAGGGCACCCTCATGGGGAAGCAGCTTCAGCCAGGTCCAAGGTCAGCGTGCAAGGCCCTCGGGCTCTCATGTTGTCGCCGCTGCAGCCCTGCCTGGCCCCGCGATTCATTCCCGAGGACTAGTCCCACAGAGCCACAGCCCCCAGGCTAGCACAGGCTTCTGGCTGCTGTCTGGCCTGTCCCTCTTCTGATCACCCACCCGGCTGTTGCAGCTTGCCAGTTGTGCGGAAGCATGGGGGCTGGAGGGCTTGGGGGTCTGGCCGAGCCTCTCCCGTGGAGTGCCGTGGGCCCTGGTGAGTCCTCAGGCTCCTGGGACGCTGGTGGGCACCCGCACTGTGTTCTTGCGTTGTCTGGGTTGGCACAGGGCATTTGAAAGGGGGTGGCTGGCCCGGAGCCAAGCTGAGCCCGCGGCCCCTCTGCGTGAGCCCAAGGCTTGGGTTGCTCCCGTGCCTGCCCTCCCCACCACCTCCGGTGGAAGGCAGGCAGGAAGGCTGATCAATTTTAATTAGCTTTAAGTCTCCGTTGAAATAATCCTGGCTTCTGCCAGAGAAGGCGCAGAAAGCTTCGATCCCTTCACTAATGCGGGGAGGGTCAGATGGGCTCATGCAGCCCACAGTGGTGTGTGACTGCCACCAGCACCTGGATTTCCGGGTGACCCCATGAGCTGTTATTGCCCCCTACCTCTGCCACTCAGAGAGGCGGAGGCTAGTCCAGGCGGGGAGCCCACTTGCTGGGCGCAGGCAGGGAGCAATCCCCCGAGGGGTCCCCGCCCTCCTGGCTCTGCTCTGTGAGCCCTCAGACCAGTATGCGCTCCCAGGGTTGGACTGTGAAGGGGCTCAGGAGTGACAACGTGACTAGGTGTCCGCTGGGACCAGGATCCGTGCTAGGGGCTGAAAGGTGACAGAGGTGACCAACCCCCACCCCATAAGTGATCTCTCCGTCCCCCACTCCAGGCCCGCGACACTCCTGGCCGTCAGGTCTTCCCGGTTACCAGTCACTCTCCTGGCCCTGATTTTGTCCTTTGAGGTTTCCCAGAGGTCACAGGGCAGGGCCTGAGGACTGGAGCTTCCAGCTACGGGTAGTGGTGTGTGTGTACGCGCGCGCGCGCACCAGGGTGCTGTACCTGCCCAGGCCCCCATCCCTTTCTGGTGCAGAGGGATGCAGAGGAACAGGGAAGCCCCCAGAAAAGTATCCTGGGGGGCTTGGGGCCAATAAGGACTCGGGGATCAGCCGCTTCACTCTGGTGGCCCCTCCCTGCTCCAGCACACAGGGCACCCCTCCGCGGCCCCACCTCTCCTCCGGCTGGTGCCACCCCCGCACACCCTCCCCTCCAGTCTCTCTTGGGCTTGGATCGTGCAGCCTCCTGCCCCAGGCACCTTCCCGGCCCTCGGCCGCCCGCTCCCCGCCTCCCGGCGCACCCCCGGACGCGCACCCACTCCTTCCCGCTCCCTAGGCCGCCCCTCCCCCCCAGCCCGCCCCCGTCCTGCCAACCGCGCGCTCGCCGCCGGCAGCACCCTGGAACCGGAGGGCCGGGGCTCGCACCGGGGGTGGGGGGCGTGTCTTGAGGGTGTGCGCTCCGGCTAGGGGGCGAGTCCTGGGGGGGGGTGGGGAGGTGGGGCGCGTCCCGGGAGGGCGCGTCCCGGACAAGCGCGCGCTCTGGAAGCAGGAGTGTCCCCTGTGGGTGGGCGCGTCCCCGAGGGGAAGGGCGCAGTCTAGGGGCGGGCTCTCCGCGGCCCCACCCTCGACCGCGTCCCCCCGCCCCCCGGCGCCCCCCGCGCACCCAGCCGGGACCGAGCCGACCGCGCGCCATGGAGACGCGAGAGCGGCGGCGCCGGCAGGCTCGGCTGCTGCTGATGTTGCTGCTCTGCGGTAAGGGGGGCCGCGGGGTCCCGCGCCAGGGCTCCCCGACCTCCCCCGGGGCCGCGGGGACCCGCGCGGGCTCCCACCTCCCGCGCCCGCACCCGGCTGCGCCTCCCGCCCGGCACGGATCCCGGCCTGCCCGGCGAGCCCGGCTCCGGAACCGCGAGCCCTGAGCCCCGGCGTCATCCCCAGCCGCCGCGGGAGGGTCCTGCCCACGGTCCCCGGAGGAGCCGGAGGCGACGGCCGGGGGCTGGGAGGGGAGGCGCGGGGTCTTGAGCAGGATCTGCCCGGCTAGCGGGCTGGCGCCGCGCCTGCTCCTCGCAGCCGCGATGTCGCCGGTCTCGCTGCCGGCGGGCTGGGGATGGCCTGCCAGGGCGACACCCCAAGAGAGCTGAGGCCGCGCAGGTCCGGCTCCCACTTCGCTGGTAGGTAGTGAGCTCCCCGTCCTGGAGCTCTTGTGTGCACCCCACGCCCAGGGCTTGGGTGAGAGGAATCCAGACCCCGCAGGGCTGGTCCTTTCCACTTGTACTTGTCCCCGGAGGACAGCCCTTCGGTGTGTGTGCGCGTGTGCGCGGGGCCCGCAGGACCGGGAAGGGGGCAGCTCCCTGAGGCTTCGCTCCCAGATCCCTCCTCTAGCAAGGAAAAGGGGGCTCCGGGGAGGATACATTGCGATTTGGGAACGGATCGAATGAAAAGCTTGTTTTGAAAAATTTTACTAAAGAGAGGATCCAAGATCGAGTAAGAGGGTGTGTGTGTGTGTGTGTGTTTGGGGAGGGCTTCTCTGGGAGAGGCTTGCTGAGCTGGCTGCTCAGGTGAGGTGGGGAGCCCTGGCCTGGGGGTCAGGGGGCTCAGGGCCTCTCCGAGGGGCCACTGTCCCCTGGGTCCTGTGGGAGGCCAGCCTTGCCCTCGCTGGCCCACCCACGTCCCTGGCTGTAAGATGCAAAGTTGACCTTGTTTGAAATCGTTGTCGGCTTTGCTGATTTGGAACCGGTTAGGAGGAGGGAAAGAGCTGGATTGGCCCCTTGGCTTCCTGATCTCTGGGCCGCCTTTCCCCTGGAGATGTCTGGGTCGGGAAAGTGGGGCTTCGTCTCACCTTCCAGGGTCAGAGCCTAGGGTTAGGCGGATTTTTGTGTTGAAGGAAAGGGCGTGTGGTGGCTTGCAAACATCGGGAACACACTGACATGGGATTTCAGTAAGCCTCACATGCGAGGCCCCTGGAATGGAGATTTTGGTTCCTCAAGGGAAGGGAGCCCTTAGCTTCATTCCGAGGATGGTTGAGGCTCCCCTGACCTGCCTCCAGCATGGGATTGTGAAGGACCAGAGGCAGACCCTGCACAAACATCTTCCTAACAACACTGGGTTCGGGTCCTGAGGGCCATCTGGTCCTCCCTCAGTGGCTCCACGGTTTCCCTTCCATGGAGCTTGGGTGGCTCCAGGGGCCGACAGCACCCCCAGACAGCGCTGGTGCTGTGTGCGAGCATGGCACCGTCCTCTTTTTGTCAGTGGTGAGTAATGATGTCCTGATGCCGAGTCACCTCCTGTCACCCTGACTTGCATGCACTCCATTGGGCCCAGCGACCCAGGGGCTGCACAGAGGTGGTTGGCCGAGAGGGGCCTCGACGGTCTTCTGACCCCACTCCTTGTTTTATAGATAAGAAATTGAGGTCCAGGGTGGGGAGGACACTACCCAGACTTGGGCAGGGGCAGAACCTTCCAGACACTATGGCCAGCCTGGCCATGCCTGCCACTCAGAGCCTGGTGACTGGTGTGGTTGCTCCTCATTTCCATCCGAGCCGGATGAGAGGCTCCTGTACTTCGTTTCCAAATGCGCTGCTGTAAAAGGCCTTTCTCTGGGAAATGCATCTGTTTGGCCGTTTATCACCTCCTGGAGTCTGGAAGTTCCTGAGACAAAAGGAGCCCAGTACTACGTTTTTTTGTTTCCCTGATGGAACCAACTGAGTTTTGTATTTCAGTTTAATTCCGGAGACCTTTACTGATGCAGCTGGTAGCTTGTGGCAGCCACCCACTTTCTTGGTGTTGGTCAGGAATCTGCGTCTTTACCTGCTGTTCTAACACTGGCTGGGGTGTTGGATTTTGCGGGGAGTGTTTGAACAGGGTGTGCATCAGAGATGGTGCTAGAATGCCCCCCCGCCCTCCCTGCCTCCGGCCCCAGGACACTTCTGGTTTGTCCCACGGTGCCTGCCTTGTGCAGACCCAGTGGTGACACTGTCCTGGTATCCTCATAGCACCCCCCATGGTCCTTAAGGGCCAACGCTGGCCAAGTTCCTGCCGCAGTGCTGGTGGAGACTCTGGTCCAGGAAGAAGGAGGAGGAGGGGCCAGAAGAGAGAGGGTCCCAGGGCAGAGGGAGGAAGACAAGAGGAAGGAAGCGCTGCGCTGGGTCTTAGTGGGTTGACAGCAGGTGGTTAGGGTACACTGTGGGGCTCTTGGGGGTCCAGGTCCAGGGGTTGCCAGTCCAGGGGTCCAGGTCCAGGGGTCCAGGGCCATGGGGTCCAGGTCCAGGGGATGCAGGTCCAGGGGTCCAGGGGGTCCAGAGGTGCAGGTCCACGTGTCGGGGTCCAGCCCAGGTGTCGGATCAGGTAGATGGTCTAGGTAAAGATGGATTTTCGCTGGAAGGTGAGGCAGCAGCAAGGAGGAGGTGACAGTGTGGGACTTGTGTGGCTTATGCCCCTGTGGAAGGTGGGTGGAGCTCAGGAGACTCAGATGGGATGCTGTGATGACTCCATCAGGGAAAGGCCAGGCCCAGGAATGGGTCCAGGGGCTAGGTGTGGAGAATGCTGGGGACTTCCAGCACCTATGATGGGGAGCCCACTGGGGAGCCGGAGAGAGAGGTGCCTTTGGAATAGGGCAGTGATGGGAGAAGGGAATGTGGGCTGGCTTCATCATCATTCCCCCCCGCCCCCATGGGTCCCCAAGGGCCTGCACTCCCCAGAGTCACTAGCACTATGCCCATGTGGCCCTGGACTCAGGGCTGCCTTCTTGCCAGCAGATGGGCAGGTGCATCTGGGCAGGGTGGTGGATCGAGGCCAGCCCATGGCACACCCTGGCTCACATTGACTCTGCATTTGGCTGTGGGAAAGTCGATTTTCCTCTGGGGATTTAAACTGGGGGGATAGGGGGCAGGAGACATGATGCTGTTCCTCAGGCAAACCGTGGATGGGATTGGCATGAGGATGTCGGCTCAGGCCAGTATGACAGGCCACTGGGGGGCAGCTCTGCAGGAAGGTGGTTTGGGCTTGACCCCCCACTGTGTTACTGAGCAGGTGGATGATCTTCCCTTCGTGGTGACCCTGTCTTTTTAAGTGCCTCTGCGAGTGGGAACTTACTTAGGACAGGGCACTCTGTGGACATTGGTCAGGCGTTGTGGAGGAGATGGCAAGGCTCTTCTTGAAGGGACATAGGCTTGAGTCTTGGCTGCTGCATGCCTGGACTCTATGAGTGAAGGTTCACAGATTGGGTTCAGCAGGAGAGTGCTGGGGTTGAAAACTGCCCTGGGAGGCCTGCCTCAGTCTGGCTCAGGGTCCACCTTTCCAACCTCACTGCCACCCCTTCACCCCTAACAACTGTGGGTGCCCCCCTCAAGCTAAGTGCAGTCTGGCTCCATGGCCTCCTGTCTGTACCTGGCATTCCCTCACTGTTCGTTTTCTGTAATCTCACTGATTTTTTTTAACTATTCATTTGTCTGTAAATTAGTGAGAGAAGAGTATTTAATTCTCAGCTGTTACTGTGGAATTGTCATTTTGTTCCTTGCAGTTCTATCCATTTTTGCCTCCTGTGTTTTGATGCTCTGTTATTAGGGGCATACATGTTTAGCATTGCTATGTCTCCTTGGTGAATTGAACCATTTATCATTGTGAAGGACCCTCCTTATCTCTGATAATATTCTTTGCTCTGAAATATACTTCATTCAGAATTCATATAGCCACTCCACCTTTCTCTGGATTAGTAGTAGCATGGTATGTCTTTTTCCACCCTTTTACTTTGAATGTATTTGAGTTTTTTTGTTTAAAGTAGGATTCTTGTGAACAGCCTATGGTTGGGGCTTGTTTTTGGATCTCATCTAACAACTTTGCTTCTTAATTGGGGTGTTTAGGCCATTGACTCTCAGTCTATTTTTTTTTAAAAGATTTTATTTTTGAGTAATCTCTACACCCAAGGCTTGAACTCACAACCCTGAGATCAAGAGTCACACGCTCTACTGACTGGGCCGGCCAGGTGCCCCTCAATCTGACTATTGACATGGTTTGGTTTATATCTACCATTGTGTCATCAGTACTTTTTCTCTTCTCTTTTTTTATGTTTTCTTTTGGACTTAATTTTTTTTTTTTAAACTCCTCACTGCCTTGCCCTCTTCATTCTCGCCTCCCTTCTGTTCCCAGAAGTGCCCTTATGGTCACGGGGCCACCTTCTTTGTGGTGCAAGCCCTTCCCTGAGCCAGGCACCCTGTGGTCTCCCCTGGGGACAACGTGGCCTGCAGTGCAGGATCTCATTGCGTCAGAACCTGCTATTTCTTTTTTTTTTTTTTTTTTTAAGATTTTATTTATTTATTTGAGAGAGAGAGAATGAGAGATAGAGAGCACGAGAGGGAAGAGGGTCGGAGGGAGAAGCAGACTCCCCGCTGAGCAGGGAGCCCGATGTGGGACTCGATCCCGGGACTCCAGGATCATGACCTGAGCCGAAGGCAGTCGCTTAACCAACTGAGCCACCCAGGCGCTCCCTGCTATTTCTTTTTGATGGCCATTTCCTCTGCACTTGCTTGTGCTCAGACTGTGAAATTTGTGCTGTTGCCCTCAGGAACTGATCATTCATTCATTCATTCTCTTGAAAAGTCTTTTTGGAATACCAAAGAGGTGCTGATGGTTAGGGGAGTGAGGGAGCAGCAGGGTTTTACCAAATACCTACAGTAACAACAAACATCGTAAAGATGGGAGCCTCCTTGGGCACATGGCTAATGCCTGTCCATATGGCCCCCTGTGAGGCCAGGACCTGTTTCCCTGAGTTTACTGATGGGGAAACTGAGGTCAGCTGGTGACCAGTGATGCTGGGTGTGAGCCCAGGTCTGCCCAGTTCTGGGTGTGGGCCTTTCTCCTGTTTCCTTCCCTATGATTTCTCCTGCAACACAATACTCTCTGCCAGGACACACAGAGATGTATACACACATGTATACACACACAAACACGCATGCACACATGTACAGACACACACACACACGGCAGGGCCGTTTGCACACACATACACGAACACACACATATGCACACACAGACACACAGACACACACACACACGGCAGGGCCGTTTGCACACACATACACGAACACACACATATGCACACACAGACATACACACACGCACGCACACACACGGCAGGGCTGTATGCACACACACACACGCACACACACACATAGACATACATATGCACACATACACACATATGCACACACATACCAGGACACACACCACAGGGTTTTCTCTTGATTGTGTGGTGGGAGCCAAAGCAGAGGCCATGGGAAGGAAACTTTTGAGGGGTGTCTGGGGAGGAAGGGTGGTCCGGTCCTGAAGGTGAGTGCTCCTCGGTGGGGAGATGATCTGGGTGAAGGTGGAGGTGGAGGGATGGGGGAGCTGGGGGCAGAGGTGGAGCGGGGAGGGGGGTGCCGGGAATCCTGAGGGGGACCCCTGCTGGACCTGGGGGGTGACCTGGCCTCCGCTTCTGGAACATGAGTCCCCAGGCCTCCTGGAATTGAGGGGCAGCTCTGACAGGGCCGGCGGAGTTCTCCCCCATGGGGGCCTCTGCTGGTGCCCTCGTGGTCCTAGAAGGTCAGCAGACTCTTAGGATCTTTGTGGGGACATGCTCTGGGCACCCTTGACCCTGGCGCTGCAGTGGGGTTGCTTTGCCACCCCGACGGAGGGGACCCGCTCCCCACCCCCACTGCACACAGGAGCCCACCTGTTCTTGGCTTCCCCAGCCCCCAGGACACGCATACCCCGCCCACTGTCCTCCCTCGTCTTCTCTCTCCCACACCCCGTTGGGAGACCATGGCTCTCTGGGTCCCATCTAGGTGACACCCACCCATGTGGGTCCCCTTTTGGCAGTGGCTTCACTTCTCTGGGCCACACGGTGGGGGGGGCCAGCGAGAGGGACCCCAGCTGCCTGCGGGGGTGTGGGGGACGTCAGCAGGAGGCTTGAGGGTCACATTGCCAACCACATTCCCAGCAGTGTCATGCCCGCGGCTGTCCCCTCTCCAGGTGGGTGTCCCCGAGTGGGTGGCTGCAACGAGACTCGCATGCTGGAGAAGCTGCCCCTCTGCGGGAAGGCCTTCGCCGACATGATGCACAAGGTGGACGTCTGGAAGTGGTGCAACCTGTCCGAGTTCATCGTGTGAGTGCCGCTGCTCCGCACGGGCTGCCCACCCCTGCTGCCGCCTGCCCTCCCTGCTCACCCCTGCCCTCCCCTGCCACACCTGCCCCCTGCCCTCCCCTGCCACCGCCTGCCCACCCCTGCTCACCCCTGCCACTCCTGCCGCTGCATGCCCTCCCTGCTCACCCCTGCCACCCCTGCCCTCCCTTGCTGTCACCTGCCCACCCCTGCCCTCCCCTGCGACCACTTGCCCACCCCTGCTCACCCCTGCCACCGCCTGCCCACCCCTGCTCACCCCCGTCACCCCTGCCACCCCTGCCCTCCCTGCCGCCGCCTGCCCTCCCTGCCCTCCCCTGCCCATTCCCAGCAGATGCAGAAATTTCACTCTGTTTTGTTCAGGAGCGGTTCCCCCACACCAGCTGTGCCAGGTCCATGCAGGGGTTGTGGGTGTGGACCTACCCCCGGAGCCACTGTCTGCTGGGGCCCTGGGCATGGAAGCCCCTAGAACAGCCGTTGGGGATGGAGAGCAGGGGGCCTGGGTTTGGAGGAATAAGGGCTGAAGCAGCTGAGCAGACCTGGGGCTTCTGGGGAGGACGGGGGCTCCCAGCAGGCATGGGGCAGGGGTAGCTCGCCCTGTGGGGGCCACCAGCGTAGCACCAGCCATGATGGGGAGATGCAGGGAGGGTGGGCAGGCCCGTCGCTGATGATTTGCAAGGAGGTAAAAGCCAGTGTGTCTTGATGTTTCATGCTAAGTGTGATCCTGGGCACCTTCTTGTCCTCGGAGCCGTGAGGAAGCTCCTGGACACCAGGCTTGGAGTGGACATGGGAGGAGGGCCAGGGAGGGCGAGGTGGGAGATTCCCACCCTGTGCCTCTGTCACCGCTAAAGCCTCAGTGAGGAGGTCAAGTTGATGTCCAGCCCTGGGGCCAGAGGACAGGAGCAGGCTGCCAGAGGGGCCTCTGGGGTCAGAGCACCAGTGGGAACTGACTTCCCACCCCAGCTGAGCCAGACCCCACGCCGGAGAGGGGGGCTGGCCTCCAAAGACCTGGGTAGTCTGCAAGGCAGCTGAGGGCCGTCCGAGGGGCAACTGGGGTCCAGAGCCCCTCCCTGAGGCTTGTGCTCGGGGCCATTGGGACTGAGGCACCTCTTCATACCCGTGACCATGGCCCAGGCCCAGGCCCCAGAGCCCGGAGCCTGGGGACAGCGGCTGGTGCCCAGCCGCCCCTTCCCCTGCACCCAGGAGGGGACCCCTCGGGTGAGCCGTCCTTCCTGAGGCGGAGGGGGGCTGCCGGGGCTCCCTCAGAGGGCCCAGCAGAGCCTGGGATGTTCCAGGCAACCCTTTCCCCCAGGCCCGAACCCCTGCCAGCCCAGAGTCCCCTGGTCATGAGCATCCAGGTGGGACTGGGACATTGGATAAAGGGCTCTGGCAGGAACAGCAGGGCGGGGACCCCCATCTTGAGATCCCCGTGCAACCGGAGGGAGACCCCAGTGCCATATCAGTGCCTCAGAGGCATCGTGAGGGCCAGAGAGGAAGTGCGGCAGACGCAGAAAGCGCCCCTGGCGGTGGAAGACTGAGCAGAAGGTGACAGAGCTGGGCGCGCGAGGCGGTTGGGGGTCCTGGGGGCAGGAGTTCTAGAAGACAGGCAGGGGGACACAGGGAGAGACTCAGGGCCATTTCCAGGTGAGGGCTCAGGTTCAGACCCCGAGGGCTCGCCCCGTGCCTGGCACCAAGGCTGTGGACCAAGGCGCGTGCCGCGAAGGGGCAAAGACATGTGGGTAGAAAGACAACAGTGGGCTGGACACACGTGAGGACTGGGGGCCTCAGGCTCCCTTGGCAGCCCTGGAAACCAGGACGGGGTGGGGCTGGGGCCTCAGATTTCTAGACCGCTTTTCCCCGCCAATCCGTCATCATGGAAACAGCCCCAGACACACAGAACTCCCACCTCGTGTCTCCTGAGCGCCCTTTCTCAGGGTGCAGGGGTGGTGCCATCCCCCCGCCCCCCCAGAGAGTGAGCAAACCACAAAAGAGGACAAAGTCAGAGGCGGGGTGGGAGGGTGGGAGTAGCAGCCCCGGGCCGGCCCAGTGGCCACGGGCATCTGGGGGGGCCTGTCCCCACGGTGATCCATGTCTGAGGTCACTGCCCTTGTCCTCACCCCACAGCCAGCTCGCTGAGGATGGAGACCTCCTCCATCCCATTAAGGGGAGGCTGCTGGTGAGGTTTCCAAGTGCCGTGCCGTATCGCCTACGAACAATAATGCAGGCAGTGAATCTTGAAGGAAAGCAAGGAGCTGAGTCGGAAGCTGAGTTGGGAAAGTGTCTGCCTGGTGGGAGAGTGCATCTCACTGGGGGGCTCCTGGGCTGTGTACCCCGCCCCCCCCCACCGTCGGGGCTAGAGCTGCATCTTCTTTAACTGTGTGTGCAGAGCCCCAGGAGCTGGAGGGAGGATGTTCCGGGGGCCACACCCAAGGGGGACATGGGGAGGCCCCGGGTGACCAGGCGATGCTAGGGAGGAACGAGCTGTGCTGTGACCCTGATTCCCTGATGTCATGCATATAGGGCCTTCCCTTGTGAAGAACCCCTCAGTTGTGTCTCCAGCCTGAGCTGGGGCCAGTGAGTTAGCAGGGTGTGGGGCTGTGTGCAGACGGCAGGGTGCCAGGGAGTCGTGGCCTCTGCAACCCTTTTTGGCCCAGCTAGCCCCCAGCATTCTCGAGAAGCACCGGGCGTGGGTATTTGGCATGCGTCTCCGTGAGCTGATCCACAGACATGGGTGCTATGCTCAGCGCTGTGCATGTATGCACATGGGTGCACTCACCTGACCCTCTCCATTACCCTACTGGATAGGTACGATGAACCCCACTTACAGGTGGAGAAACTGAAGCTCAGGAACACAAGAAACGTGGCTGAAATCTGGAAGGTGGTCTGTGCTGGGGCGGGAGGCAGCCTGTCAGCCCACGCTGTTCCGCACTGCCTTCTGGGGGCGTGGGCCCTAGCTCCAATGCCTGGCTTTGCACACTTGTGTCCAGGTTCATCTGGCCTCATCTCGGCCCTGGGGAGTGGTGGTGGCCTTCCCACAGGCAAGGGAGTCAGAGCATAGGGTTCTTGTCAGACTCCGGGGACGGCGGCTGCCCCAAGCCAAGGCCAGGTTGGATCTCTCCTGGACAGCAGGCCACTGAGTCCACGTGTGCAGGGGTGGGACTGGGGATGACGGGCTTCCTGTGGACCAGACCTGGGCATGTCCCAGGCTCTGGACATGACTCAGGCCGTCCCTTCTGCTTCTGGCTCTCTGCCATTTGTGTGAGCTCCTCCTCGTAGGCATTCCCTGGGGGGCCCGGGTGTGGGACCTGCATTCCAGCCTCTGGGCTAGGACCCTGCCAGGAGGGCTGGGCACCCGGAGGGCCTGGCCACGTGAATCCACTGCCCCTCCTTTCGTACCCCTTGTTGGGCAGAGACAGCTTCTGTGGAGGAAGCGGCTCCTTCCTGTTGATGGCTCAGGCCGGGCCATGTTCTGCAGGAAGGAGGACACAGGGCACAGAGCCTCAGGCCTGCCTCACCCCAGCCTTCGCTTCTGTGGGGAGCCAAGGTCGGAACCCCTGGCCCTCCTGCTCCTGATCTACATGCAGCACTCAGCCAGGTGTGGGAAGGCCTAGGCCGTGGACAGAGCTGGTGCACCCTGGCACGTGTCCATCTAGCCCTCTCTCTGGAGCATCTTGGGGGCTGGTCGCCAGTCTAGGCTCCCAGCTCCAGAGGCCGCTGGTTGTGTTCAGGGCGAGGCTGCCGTTCGGCTGACTCTGGGTCCCCATAGCTGCACCGTGGTCGGCTGTTTGAACTGTCCAGAGCCCACCTGTTGGACAGACGTGGTACCTCATGGGTGGCTTGCTGAGTGCCCTTTGGAGGTCTGATGACACGGACAGGGAGGCCCCTGGGGGAGGGGGCTCGAGCCTGTCCTGTCCAATGGGGGCCACCCCCTCCTGACCTGGCAAATGAGGCAGCTGGCCCTTGGCCTTGGAGGCCCCTCTCCTGGGGCCCACAGAGTGTCTTAGATGATGAGGGCATTGTGGGTCGTGCATCCCTCTGCCTTGAAGAAAGGGGTCAGGCCTGATGTGTCCTCTGGGCAGACTGGGAAGTCCTGGGAGCCCTGGGGGCTGGGCCTAGACTGGGGGCTCTGGGAGCTCACGGCGTCCCAGGGAGTTGGTCACGGGCATGAGGTGTAGACAGAACTCAGTCGCAGAGCTTCCTTGCTCTGTTTGGTCTTGGTTGAGATGGGAGGTCTGGGGTCTGGGCCAAATGAGCTCAGGGTGTGTGCAGAGGTCACCTCACTGGCGTGGGGGGGGGGTCAGGCGTGGGGGGATTCGTGGCAGGCATCTGGCCAAGCGGAGTGGAGCGTGGTTGTGCGTGTGGGGGGAGGTGGCTGAGGCGCAGGGGAGGAAAGGCTTGGCGGGGGTGGGGGGTGGGAATGATCACCTTGCCCCAGGAGCCTCTGGGCAAGGAGGCAGCATGTCGGATAGGCCCCATGGTATGAGGGTCCCGGGGGCGCTCCTGTTCCCGCTGTCCAGCGCCGCCCAGGACTGGGCCCCACCCCCTGCTCTCCGGGGTCACTGGACCCCACCCGCCGCTCTCCCGGGTCACGGCCCGCATGATGGGGGCGCAGGGAGCCAGTTGTCACACCCTCTGCCTTTGCAGGTACTACGAGACCTTCACCAACTGCACTGAGGTGGAGACCAACGTGGTGGGCTGCTACTGGCCCAACCCCCTGGCGCAGGGTTTCATCAGCGGCGTCCACAGGCAGTTCTTCGCCAACTGCACGGTGGACAGGACGCACTGGGAGGACCCCCCGGACGAGGTTCTCATCCCGCTCATTGCTGTGCCCGTCCTGCTGACCGTGGCCATGGCCGGCCTGGTGGTGTGGCGCAGCAAGCGCCCTGACCAGCTGCTGTGAGGCTCGGCGGTCAGAGGGGCCGCGCCTAGAGAGAGGGAAGGCCGGGCCGGGGGCTGGGGAGCCGCCCAGGACCCGGACCCGGACCCGGCGGTCGTGGGCAGGCGTCACCCGGCCCCGCAGCTCACTGCAGTCATGCTGCTCACCCAGGCTCTTCCTCTTTCTTGGGCTGGGGAAGAAAACGCACCAAGCCCGGAGCCCGAATCGCTGCTGCTGTGCCCGCTGCCCAGGCTGGGTGTCTAGGCCATTCCTTTGCAGAGCCCTGCCTGGCCCTCGCCGGGCCTCCTGCCCTCACCCTGCCGGGTCCCCGGCTCTGACTCCACCTCCCAACCCGACCTTGACCCCTGTCCTGACTCCACCCCCTGCCTGGCTCTGACTCCACCTCCCAACCCGACCCCACCCTCTGCCCTGACCCCACCCCTGTCCCGACCCCACCCCCTGCCCCACCCCACCTGCTGCCTGGCTCTGACTCCACCTCCCAGCCCGACCCCACCCCCTGCCCTGACCCCACTCCTGTCCCGACCCCACCCCCTGCCCCGACCCCATCTGCTGCCTGGCTCTGACTCCACCTCCCAACTCGACCCCACCCCCTCCCCTGGCCACACCCCCTGTCCTGACCCCACCTTCCAACCCGGCCTACCCTCTACTGGCCCCACCCCCTGACCTGACTCCACCTCCTGCACTGGCCCTGGCTCCACCCCCGGGTTGACTCCACCCTCCCCCGCCCCCCCCCCGGCGCTGCCCTGGGCCTCCCGGGCCGGCCCCCTCACACCTGAGCTGGGGTTGCATAGAGTGTGAGAGCGCTGTGTTTGTAGGATCTTGCTGCGCTGTGTCTGAGCCTTCCTGGCGGGGAGCCCATGCACAGCCTGAGGACGGAAAACCCCGACAGACTGAGAGTCAGGCCGGGGTCCCCTGGCGGCCAGGCACCGCCTGAGACCTCCTGTCTGTGCCCCCAGCACAGACCTCCTTCCCAGGCCCCAGTGAGTCAGGCCCCTCTGGGCTGGGGTCCCGTGAGCTGCGTGCTGGCTGAGCTCTGTACTGTGTGTGCTTTCTCTGAGTAAAGAGTCATCCGCTTCTGGCTTTCCTGTTTTATTTCAGGGTATTCCGAGAGAGGCCTGTCTCTTGGGGCTGACAAGTCTTCACGCGCGTTTTCCAGATAGGGAGTGACTGAGGGATGCCCCAGAACCCCAAAATGTCAGAGTTCTGAGGGCTTCAAGCCAGGGGGATGTGGGCGGGTGGAGGGCCGCCAGGCAGGTGCTGGTGGCCTGTTCTGTGCGCGTTTCCGGTCGCCTGCTGGGTTTTCCCGGGAGGGGGCCGGTGCTGGTCCTGGGGCATCCGATGGAGCATCGGATGGAGGTGTCTTGCTGGCTGCTGGCACTGCTCCAGTCCCAAGGCTGTCTTTGGATGTGGGCTGTTTCCACCACGCCCTTGCTGGGACCAGCGGTGGGGCTGGGCTCTGGGGGAGGCCAGAGAGAGCAGGCAGGTCCCGTGCCCTTCAGAGGCCCTGTTCCTCTTGCTACCCCAGCTCTTGATGACTTCCCCCTGCAAGGGGTCCGAGCAGAGGAACCCTGTCCCAGGATGCGGTGGTCACACCCAAGGATCTCCACCGACTGTCACCTGGCCAGCCAGAGCCTACCTGCTCCCTGCTACTTCGGGGTTGAGTCTCCATGGCCGGGGCCCTCCCTTGGGGAGCTGTCATCTGTCTACCATCGCTCTGAAAATCATCTTTGGCTGGAGGTGGGGTATGAGTGTCCTCTGCTCAGCTTTGTGGGGGTGACAGGTCACAGCGCAGCCAGGGGGATCCTCACTGTCCCATGTTCACGGAGGGTGACCGGCAGGAGAGAACGTGGCATACCTGCTGTGGGTGGATGGGGCCGAGGTGCAGGGACGAGGTCGTCCTGGGTGGAGCCAACCCAGGCAGCCCAGGATGTTCCTCGGGGTCTCCCAGGCCTGTTGCATTTGTAAACTTATATCCATGTGAAGCTGCGTGTAGTCGGGGACTGTGCTGGCCTGGGCTCTGTGTCCATTCCCACACTCAGCCTGGCTCAGCCGTCTGCCCCCTGACCCTTCCCTCCCCGGGGCTGCCTCGGGTCACTCATCCCTATATGGTGAATGGATGTAACCACAGGTGAAGGTAGACCAGGGCCGCAGAACCTGCTTCCTTTGGCTCCCGCTTCTATGCTCCATATGTTTTGTTTCTAAACATTTTGGTTGTTTATTTATTTTTTATTTTTTTAAAGATTTTATTTACTTATTCATGAGAGACAGAGAAAGAGAGAGAGAGGCAGAGGGAGAAGCAGGCTCCCAAGGAGCAGGGAACCCGATGCGGGGCTCGAAGGATATTGTTTTAGTCCGTTTGGGCAGCTACAGCAACAAACCACAGACTGGGTGGCTTGTAAACAACAGAAATTGACTTCTCACAGTTCCAAGGGCTGGAAAGTCCAAGATCCTGGCTGGCAGATTTGTGAGGTGTCTGCTGAGGGCCCACTTCTGGCTCCCAGATGTCCTCGCTCTGTCCCTTCTTGGGGGGAAGGGGTAGGGAGCTCTTTTATGAGGATGCTGATCCCATTCATGAGGGCTCCAACCATGAATGCCGTCCCATCGGGCAGTAGGTATTCCACACGTGAGTTTGGGGAGGACACAAACATTCTGACCTCAGCAGATGTGAAAGGGATCCTGTCCCTCAGTGGCCCCGATTCGTGCTGGAGGACAGTCAGGGAGAGATAAAACAAAGACATCATTGCTTTCGCAGGTGCTCTTGGCGGCTGCGCTCCCAATACACAGCATTCATGGGTGTCTCTTCGTCTCATGGATTTGCTTTCCTGTAGGAACATGGTGTTAATCGCACTGTTGGAGGACTGAGCTCTCAATCAGGGGATCAACACCAAATAGATATTAGTGATGATCAAGAAGGTATCTGGGAAGCACACGTGCTTTCTCGGTTATCCAGCCCTAATTAACTAGGTGGTGGGCGCTGTGAGGGCTGGGGTCCGTGCACACACCCTTTGCCCTCAGAGGGCTCCCTGTCTGTGAGTCTGGGAGATGCGAGGTGGCTGCAGAGAGCTCTGTATCGGGCGTGTGTGGCCAGCCCGGCAGTGAGTGGGGGGAAGGCAAAAGGGGGGGGGCATCTGGGGCACGTGGGTTGGGGTCAGTCCCCTGGGGTCCAGGAGCCTCACCCACCCGCAAAGGCTTTCAGAAATCAGGAGATCAAGTAAACACACACATCAAAAGTGGGGATGTATAACAACAAACCAGCGTGATATAATATATATCTACTGTTGACCATCTATCGATCATCCACCTGTCTGTCCTTCCCAAATGGAAATATTCATTCTTTTCAAACACCCATGGGGAACTGATAAAAGTTGTTACGAGGGGCACCTGGGTGGCTCAGTTGGCTAAGTGGCTGCCCTCGGCTCAGGTCATGATCCCGGGGTCCTGGGATCGAGCCCTATGTTGGGCTCCCTGCTTGGCGGAGAGCCTGCTTCTCCCACTCCCTCTGCCTGCTGCTCTGCCTACTTGTGCTCTCTATCTCTCTGTCAAATAAATAAATAAAATCTTAAAAAAAAAAGTTGAAATGATTCAGGCCACAGTCCTGGGTTGAAAGGACTTGAGAGGCAAAAGAAAGAAACTTTCACTTGGAAATTGCAAAAAAAACTTTCTGTATAATTTTGGATTCAAGAGACAAGAAAAATGGAAATCATAATCGCTTTAAAGTCAATAAGGATAAAAGCACTGTTGGCACACCAGCGCACACGAGATGCATTTGTGCTCGGCAGTGGGGCGCTGTGCAAGGTGTCTGGCGCCCAGCGTGACTGACAGAAGCAGGGACGGGCATCCCTCCTGCCGCCGGCCGACTGCCCAGCCCGGGCGGTTAGTGCTGGGGGTGTTGATGGGCCCCAAATCCCTGCACGGCCACAGCGGTGTATAACCTTACATGCGCTTTCCAGAAAATATGAAAGATTGAAACAAAATCTACTAAGCGTTCAACTCAATACACTAGTAACAAATAGCAAAGAAAATGTGTATAGAAGGAGGAAATAAATAGTGATGGGAATAGAGCTAATGAAATAGAAAAGTTAGAGAAGATTTGATCAATAAAATGGCACATTTTTTCTGAAGGCAACAGGTGAAGTAGGAACCCCAAATAGAATAATCACTACAGAAGAAGCTACTCAGATATTAATTTACAAGGTATGACAATGGGCCCTACGTGCATGTTTCCATCATCTGTTCCTATGTGATGTATAAACTGTCCCGGATCATAGACAAAGACAGGAAGTTCCCTCAGTAATGGTACACAGCCCAGGTCACCTTGACCCGCTGGGACATGTCCTGCTGAAGGTAACGGACAGCTTGAGCATGACCAACAAGTGGCTTAAACAAGCTTGTGGTGGTATTGTATATATTTTTTATTTTCTGTGTATTATGATGTTTTGACATTTAAAAAAAGATTTTATTTCTTTAGTAGTGAGAGAGAGAGAGAGAGAGAGGGCGAGCACACAGAGGGAGAGGGAGAAGCAGACTCCCCTCTGCGGGTCTCAATCCCAGGACCCCGGGATCATGACTTGAGCTGAAGGCAGACACTTAACTGGCTGAACCACCCAGGTGCCAGATGTTTCAGCATTTTAAAAAACTCTTTCTGGCTGGGGAGAGACTGACCCTTCTGGGTTAGCTGGTTCTTGGAGATGGAAGGGCCCAGTGGAAGCATGCCTTTGATATGCAAACTGGCCAATCCAGAGCCAGGCTCTATCTACTTGGACCAAGGAGGCAGGACCTCTGCTTTCATCATCCCAGGCAAGGTACCAGGCAGCGAAGGGACACCCCTGTAGTTTAGAACCTGCTAGAATTATTCAAACTAGCCAATTTTAGGCTTTTCGCCCTGTCCTGCCCTGCCTTTCCTGTGGAAACCCCAGTAGATGCTCTGGCTGGGGCTCTCCCTTCCTTCTGCTCCTGCCATGTGACCACACTCGTGCCTCCCCGTGTGGCTTGTTGTGCCTCCT